TTTGAATTGTTATTGATTTTCAAAAGAAAAATGGTTGCTTTTAATGAATAGAATGAAATGCTATTTCTACTCCAAAGGATGTTTTATCTTCTCTATCATTTGTTATTTTAAATTTGAAAATTCTTGCACATATGCTTCTTTTATGCATATGTTTCTGGGTTAGGTGCTTTAGTTTTACTAAACTTGGTTATTTTGGAGTTAAACTCAATATTTAGAGTCAAAATGTAGTAGAAACTGAAACTAATTATGGCTTTGAAGATTTTTATGGCTGCTATTTAGAGTCAAAAGTTTTTCAAAGATATATCTAATGACCAAACATGCTAGAAGTTTGGAATTTGGAATTTCGCTCTGTGCTAATAGGAGTGAATGAGCAACGCATGAACCGAACTTTTCCTGCTCCAACTTACTCGTGCTGTCACTGGCATGGACTTGAGGGTGATCTCTGCAGAGTGCGTACAAGTGTACAACTGGGATTACTGAATTTGGAGGTGGTTCTGCTCAGTGTGATTCCTATCTATTGTGTTAGTTTTGAGCATTACATAAATACTGATGTTCACATGAAATTCAAATTCAAGATAAAAAATTTTAAAAAAAAAGGATGATGATGACATTCATAAGTTAAAGGAGAAGAATTTCAAAACTTCAAGTCATTGGTGGCCATAATTATTTATTCATTTTTACATATACATTCCATGATGATTTATACAGAAGCCTACAGGTCTTTACTGTTGCTAGGGCTATATCATATGCTCTGAATGGACAATTACATATTAACCATTTTGTTGACTTTTTAGTGTTGATGATTTTGCAATCTTTTTTATGAGGACAACCGGCCTAACAAGGCGTTCTATGAAGGGACAATGGATAACTGAAGAGGTTGCCTTTCTTCTGCTTCTTTTTTCTCTTTTTCATTTTGATCTCTACTTTTCTGCATTATTTGTAGTTTTTTTCTGTTTATAACTCTGAACATAACTAGCTTCGAAATTGTGTAATTCCCAAATTAATTGGGTTTCTTGCATGTTTTACTATGTTTAGAACGTTGCTGCATTATTTTTTTATGTCACTGACTGTGATTTTCAATTCCCATTGTTTGCTTAGGATGATTATTTTTTATGCAAATATAACAAATATAAATGAAAATTTTCTTATATTAACAATGTGAATTATTTATGCATCCAGGATCAGAATTTGTGGAGAGCTATTCAGCATTTTATAGGGAAAAAATCTAGAAAAAAGGTGGGTTTAATTATCAAGTTTTAATGTTTATCTCTATGTTACCCTCCTGCAATCAGTAATAGATTTCATTGTACTTCAACTCCTCTTTTTCATTTTCTCTTTATTTCTGAAAGATACTAAGGCCTTATGCCCCATAACTTTGATTTTTATATATCTTTTTAATGGCCAAAAATCTTGCTCTGAAAAACCCTTTGGCTGCCTGGAATCTCTGGTCTTATGGATGGTGCCTTGTGAATGGATTTCTTATGTTGTGTTTGAATGTCTGTGATGAAATCAAAATTTAATGCTGAAATTAATTTGGCTGTTTTAGTTTGATTCACGGTGTTTACCAAGTTGTCTTAGGTTCTATCTCCATTAAGCTAATTTAGAATAATGATTTTCTTTGCTACTTAGTTTGGTTTACACTTTTGATGTCATATTGGTTTTGAGTTCATGAAGAGCGAAGTCTGGTTGTTCATTTGCTGGTATTCATATTCGTGATGCTTTGAATGTGTGAAGAGAGAAAAAGAAGAGAAAGGGAGAGATTATTAAATGTGTGTTGGGGGGTACTACAATAATAACTATTCCTTCTTTCCCCAAATAATTGTCATTTTTTTACTTTTTTTTTCATTAAGGATTTGAGGACAATTCTCCATATTAGCTTGGGAAAAAGTTAAAAAATAAAGTAAGATTTTTTTGTGATAGGATAATTAATCAAAATAAATAGATAATGATAAAGTTAAAGTAAAAAAAAATATTTGTCTATCCTAAAAAATAAAAAAATACAATCAATTTAAGACAAACTCAAAGTTAAATAACTAACAATTATTTTGAGATAAATGAAGTAGGTAATAATCTAATGGGAAAGATAAAAGAATAGTTTTTATATTAGTTGTCTTGAGAAAGTATGATTCTTCCATATATGGCGGAAGAGGAGAGAGGAAACTGGTTGGGAAGATTTTGAATTCTTTATTCCTTTGTTTTATTTTCTGTTTTTTTTTTTTTTTTTTCCCAATTTGTGTTTTCTTATTGTAACATTTTTTTTTATGAGTTTGTTATTACAGCTAGGGACAATTTGGTGTTCTTGAAAACTGGTTCAAGTCCCCACACTACAGGAATAGAAGCAGCTATGTTGATACTATAAATTTATTACTTCACCTCTTTCATTTCGAATGTGTTTAACATAGATGAGTTTTAATAGTTGTTTTGTGTCTAAAACTAGGTCATCATTATGGACCCATCTAGCTGAACTTATGCTTGAGTTTAACAAGATGTTGAAGTAGTTTAATTTGGAAGGAATTGCTGAATTGGCATAACTATTTAAGTTTTTGAATTTATAACTAAAGAAAAATCAGAAATCTGCCTCTTTGTTGCAACTCGACAATCCAATTTTAGAATTGCACAGAATTCTCTCTTTTCTTTTCTTTTCTTTTCTTTTTTTTTTTTTTTTTTTTTTTT